ACAGTAATCAAAAAACTCCCACCAAACTAAAGTCCTGAACCAAATGGCATCACAGGTGAATTTTACCAATATTCAAAGCATTAACGATTTCTCAAACTATTCCCCAAAACTGAAGAGGATGGAAGGCCCAAACTCGTTTTATAAGGCCGGCATCACTTTGATACCAAAACCAGACCAAAAAAAAAAAAAAAAGAAAATTATAGGCCAATATCTCTGATGAACCCAGAGACAAAAAATCTCAACAAATATTAGCAAACTGAATTCAGCAATACATTAAAAAGATCATACCCCATGATCAAGTGGGATTTATTCCTAGAATGCAAGGTTGATTCAGAATCTGCAAATCAATTAATGTTATACACCACATAGACAAAATGAAGGATAAAAAAATCATATGATCATATCAATAGATGCAGAATAAGCATCTGAGAAAATTCAACATCCATTTATGGTAGAAACTCTCAGCAAAGTGGGAATAGAGGAAAGATATGTCGACACAATAAAGGCCACATATGTCGAGCCCACAGCTAACGTACTCATTGGTGAAAAGCTGACAGCTTTTTCTTTAAGATCAGGAACAAGGCTGTTCATTTTCAGCATGTTTATCCAACACAGTATTGGAAGCCGTCAGACGAGAAAAAGAAATAAAAAGGCATCTGAATTTAAAAGGAAAAAGTAAAACTATCATTATTTGCAGATGACGTACTATATCACGAACCCTAAAGAATCTACTAAAAAAAAAAAAAAAAAAAACACTGTTGGAACTGGTAAATGAATGCAATAAATTAGCAAGATGCGAAATTAATCTTCTGAAGTTATTTGTGTTTTTGTACACCAATAGCAAACTGCAGAAAGGGAAATTAAGAAAACAATCCCATTTACGTTTACTTCAAAAATAAAATACCTAAGGAATAAATATACTCAAAGAGGTGAAAGACTTTGCTCAGAAAACTATAAAGACACTGAAGAGAGAAACTGAAGGGGGAAGCAGGTACCGTGCTCGTGGGCAGGAAGGAGTAACATCAGTAAAATGTCCATAATACCCAGGGTGATCTACAGATTCGATGCAATCCCTATCAAAACACCAATGACATTGTTCACAGAACTAGAACAAATAATCATAAAATTTATGTGGAACCACAAAAGACCTGAATAGCAAAGCGATTTTGAGAAAGAATAGAATTAGAGGTATCATATTCCTTGACATCAAACTATACTACAAGGCCGTAGTAATCAAAACAGCACGGCACTGGCATAAAAACAGATACACAGATCAATGGAGCAGAACACAGAGCCCAGAAATAGACCCACGTCTCATATAGACAATGTCTATTCATCTGTGACAAAGGAGGCAAGAACATCCCACGGGGTAGACAGTCTCTTCAGTAAGTGGTATTAGAAAACTGGATACACGCAAAAGAATTAAACTAGACCACTTTCATACACCACATCTGAGAACTCGGAATGGATTAAAGACTTAAATGTGGGGCCCGAAACCATAAAACTCCCAGGAGAAAACCTAGGCAGTAAACTCTTTGACATCGGTCTTCGCAATGTCTTTTTGGATGTGTCCCCTTGGGCCAGGGGAACAGAAGAAAAAAGAAACAAATGAGACTGTATCAAACCAAAAAGGTTTTGCACAGCAAAGGAAACCATGACAAAACGAAAAACCTACTGAATGAGAGAAGAGATTCACAAATGACAAACAGATAAGGGGTTAAAACCCAAAATACATAAGGAACTCATACAATCTAACAGCAAAAAAAACCCAAACAATCCAATTAAAAAATGGACAGAGGACTTAGACATTTCTCCAAAGAGGACATACAGAAGGCCAGCAGACATATAAAAAGATGCTCAACATCACAGTCATCAGGGAAATGCAGATTAAACCACAAGGAGAGATCACCTCCCACCTGTCAGAATGGCCACCATCGAGACATCAACAAACAAGTGTTGGTTCAGACGTGACAAAACCGAGCCATCGAGCAGCGTTCAGACTGTAAACTGGTGCAGCCATGATGGAAAACGGTATGGAGGTTCCTCAAAAACTGAAAAATAGAACCAGCATGTGACCTACCAATCCCACATCTGGGTATTTATCTGAAAACAAAAACAATAATTTCGAAAGCTATATTCGCCCTTAAGTTCATCGCTTCATTATTTTCAATAGCCCAGATATGAAAGTAACAAATGTGTCCATCTATAGACACATGGATAAAGAAGATGTGAGATGGATAGATATATATATATATATCATGAAATACACAGCCATGAAAAAGAATAAAATCTTTTAAAAGAACCATTTGTGACGATACGGATGGACCTAGAAGGTATTATGCTGAGTGAAATAAGTCAGACACCTAGACACAGACACCATGCGATCTTGCTTACAGGTGGAATCTAAAAAAGTAACTATGCAAATAAAATGAAACAGACTCACAGATGCAGAGAGCTGACGGCTGCCAGGCGGGAGGGGGTCGGGGGGCTGGGGGCCGGGCGAAGCAGGGGCAGGGGTGAAGAGGCACAAACTGGCGGTCACGGTCACAGGGATGTGAAGTACAGCACAGGAATACGGCCAGTAACTGTAGTACCCGGTGGGTGCTAGACTAACCGGGGCATCACTTTGTAAATTACAGAAACGTCTAACCACTATGCTGCTCACCTGAACCCGCCATAAAGTAATACCGAACGTCAACGGTAATTGAAAAAAAATTTAAATTAAAAAACACATGCAATCAGTCTTAAATCTGAGGAGGACTTCACGTTGACCAGTCACCTTGTCCGTTTCGACTCCAGAGGGGGCACAGGCCCCCTGGCCCCCAGCCCCCTGCCCTCCCCCACTGCCCAGGGACCACTGCCCTTTGCTCCAAGTACAGAATTGGCACTTGGGTTAGTGCAGGCTTCTGGACCTCGGCCCTATCGACTTTGAGGGTCGGGTAGCTCCTTGCTGGGGGCCATCCTGAGCGCTGAGGGATGCGGGGCAGCTCCCTGGTCTCACTCACGAGGCCATAGCACCGTCCCCAATGCTGGGACAGTCCAAAGGTCCCTGACACTAACATCCCCTGGTGCTGACACACGGCCCCACACACGTCTGATGCGGGACGGGCGTGCCATTCCCAGCCCTGCCCGTAACAAGCAGGGACACGGAGAAGGTTCCTTTGACTACGAAGTAACCGAAATGACTTCCTTCCCTCCCTCCCCACACCGCAAAGTCATGGTGAAGGCCAGCGTCCCCGTGGGGAGGGGCCGTCGGCTCGCTAAGGCCGCAGCGCAGCCAGCGCCGCAGAAGGCCCCGGGGGAGCGCGCTGGACACCAGAAGTCTAAGTGGGTCCCACTTCGCAGAAGCTGAGAACGTTCTGTTCATTATACCGGAAGAACCTGGCCTGAGGGTGCTCCGACCCGCAACCAATTTTTTAAAACCAGGTCACACGTCAGGAACGGCCATCAGGCCAGGCGTGGTGTCTCAAGTTCGAAGGCGGAATGCAGCCCTCTCTCGAATACACACTGCGAGCAGCACGGTAAGGGCGGGAGGCTGTGTGCACGCGTGCGAGCTCTTCGGCGGGGAGCGGGGAGCGTGCTCGCTCCACGTCAGTGAGCGGGGCATAGCGGCGGTCCCAAGGGCAAACCGGCCCCGTAGACATCCGAGTGGAAAAGGACAGAACAGTAGGCCAGGAGGGTGGCGACTGGGCAAGCAGCACTGACGTCGCCCAAAGCAGAGAGGGGCAGCCCCCAACCCACCCAACCGCGGCTTAACGAGCAACCGCGGCACCTGAAACGCACCTTTCCCACAAACGATAAACACGGTTACTGGCACCAATGAGCCAAGGCCACGAGCGGCCACGTCACAGAAGAAAAGGACTTCGGCGAATGGCCCAGAACCCCAGGCGAGCCCTGGCGTGTGTGTGGGGGAAGGGGGGGCGGGGACACCCAGAGCCGGCGGGTTTGCGGCTCTTCTGGGCACGGCATAGGGGTGGGGCGGGCTGGGCTGGAAGTCACATTGGCAAGACACACAGAGACCCCTTATGAAAAAGGGCCATCTCTTCTGACTGTCACTGCCACATCCTGGGGTCCGCGTAAGGACACAAAGCATCGGAGGGCCTCCCCGGTCAGCACGGTCTTCTGTGCTACAACAGATGTAAAACAGGGAGTGACCCAAGTAGCCCAGTGGCTGGGGATGGAATGACCCCGAAAACGAAGGGCCAGCTGAAGGGTGAGACATCGGTTTCCCGGAATATCACGCGGACGTTTAAAGCGGCAGCTGCGGAACACACGTGGCACCTAGAAAACCGTAGACACATCCAACACAAAACCTTCCTGCAATTTTAACAACGCGCCTGTTCCCCTCCAGTGTGAGATGTGTGTATGACGTATATAAATAATACTGGGAGGAATCAGAATAAAATACTCACGGTGACCCTGAAGCAATCAAGCCATCTAAAAAGTACTTTTCAAAGCTTTACGCTGTTTACAAACTTAAAGGCGAAACACCAGTTTTCCTCGTAGCTTTGAAATAAACCGTGTGGTCCAGGTTACATTGGCACCGCCCCCACCGCCCCCTTCTAAGGGGCCAGGACCTCAGAGGCGGGAGTGAAGGGGCCCCGACCGCGCCCGGATTCCAAGCTCCTGGCTTGGAAGTTAGCGGATGAGCAGGTACCAGGGAGGCTGTCTGAGTTTCACATTACGGTGGAAGCTCGAAGTGGCTGCTTCGCCCCATTTGTCTCAATGTTTATTCAGAGTCGGCCCCATCTCCAGTGAATCCATCAGACTTGAAAGCTACAAACACAGCCGGCGTGCAGCGGGCAGCCCCGCGGGACCCACGCCGCATCTTGCGCCCCTTCCCGCCCTCCTACACCCCGCCCCGGCCGGGACAAATCCTGGGGGGTGCGCCCCGACCAGGGGGCGCACCTCACCGGGCTCTCCTGGGACCTAGACTGCCCTGCAGCCACCGGAGCACGCTGTCACCGCCCACCCTCGGCAGGGCCCGACGCGCCACTCACCTCGTAGATGAAGTACACCTTGGCGCCCACGTAGATGCCCATGCGCACGACGGCGCGCACCGCGGCGTTCATGCCTGCAAGGGAGGACAGCACAGCCGTGAGCGGGGCGCGCAGGTGGCCGATGGCCGCGGGGGCTGCGGCCCCTCAAAGGGCTCCTCGGACAGCCCCTGGGCGTGCCCCGTGCGCCCAGGACTAGTGCCCATGGAGAGAAACTGCAGGGCGGGCGACACGTTGGTCACCTGGGT